GGGTACTTGGGATGCCCTTGTACCCACACCTTCCTCACTTCAGAATGGCGTGGGTTCTTGGGCTCGGGGAGAGTGCCTGTAAATCCTAACTTTCTTGCATGTTGTCAAGTACAAGACTCTCGCCCCGGACCCAACTACAGGGTATTCAAATGGATTCAGGGCGTATTCAATTGAATACGCTCTGAATCCGTTTGAATACGGACCCTTGTGGTTCCTGCAAGTTGAGCTGTTGTCAAGCGGCACCATGCCGCTAGTATTTTGCTACAACAACCATATAATAGTATAGGTAAATATTTAGGCCCCTATATTATATTACCCCCCAGCATCAGTCTTTGCAAGAAGGCCGTGAACCCTTTCAATGTACACGGCGCGTTGCCCAATAATAAACATGGCAGCTTTCCCCTTCCCCATGTACAGACAGAAGTTTAGGGATGAATTTCCGGAAAAGGAGATACCAGTAGTTACTACTGCGTAACCATAGCGGCAAGGCAAAAAAGCCCTAAAGCTAAGCCACGAAGGGTCAGACTTCCAGTATCTTCCATGGCTTAGGGTTTTGGGGTTTAGGGTTTAGGGTTCAGGGTTTAGGGTTTAGGGTTCAGGGTTTTGGGTTTAGGGTTTAGGGTCAAACTCCCAACAGAGCATCTCCCGAAAATCAGGCTCCCATGTCCACCCCTGAAGCCATATACTAAGAATAATGATTATTGTCAGTCTTGTGGAAATTGCTTACCCACATAAAACATTCTTGCTATTGTTACAGTACCCCCCCTCCCAAAAACCAACAAAAAGTTTGAAACCGGATTAGGGACACTTAGGTGCTGGGATTCCCTAAATATGACCCATTTTTAATAATTTTTGCTCCTTATTAGGGTGTTATTATAACAAAAATGTAAAATTGTAGCCAACAAGGACCCAGATCATGGTTTGGTTTAGTACTTTTGCTTCCCTCAGCCTCACACTTGCGCTTCCCCACAACACCCTGTAAGCTTCAAGCTTGATCCCGAGAAAAAGTTGCAGTGTGCCTGTCGGCCACGGGAACCGATGTTACTGGTATGACTATTTTTAATATGATTATGATTAATTATTACTATTACTACTAGTACTACTCACACTCAGGTTGCCCTGAATCATCCACCCTTGTTTCTGCAAAAATTTGGAGGATCCAATTCTTTGGGAACCATCCTGGGCCCTTGATTTTCTGAAGGTCCCTCATCTGACCCTCACCTTGCCAAACTTTTCCGTGTTTTTGGTCATGGGATGATGCACACGGTGTAGGGTATTTGTGTGATGTTGAAAGAAAAACCAGATACTGACATCCGTAGTAACAATACAACAGCGTAGCGTCCGTAAGCTGGAGTGGGGCCGTGTGCTGCAACACAATGGGTCGACATTACATCCCCTGAGGGCAAGACCCCAGGCGACAACGTGCTCAAGCGGAGTTTGCTGAACATGCCGTAAGCCCGCAGGTCTTAATATGCAACACCTTCACCAAGGTGGAGAAGTAGACTTCAATACTTACATCCGACTCTCAAACCCTAATCAATGCGTCGATGATACAGAACGCAAAATTTTTCGCTCATTTTGTGTCTACAAGTACCGAACTTCTCTCATCCTATCTATAATCCCGCAAGCTGTTTCATGTACTACGAGAAGCCTCTGGGGTCCTATCCTACTACCATTTTCAGGTTTAGGGTTTAGGGCAGTTTAGGGTTTCGGGTTCAGGGGTGTAGTTTATTTAAGATTGCACATGATTCAAGCACAAAGCGTGGGTACGTGAGGGGGGGGGTAGCATATATATATATACACACACACACATACACCGAGCATCTAGACAGGTCACATCTGCTAAACTTCTGAGGTTACATCTTTCAACACCATTTGCGCTTCTGCACGCAGGTGGCGGCCACAGCCCATGGAGATGGAAGGACCAGGGGTGTACGGGGCCACCATCATCCTCAGCGAGAACAGGTGGGAATGAAGTCGTGCGAATGCATGAGGGACATCCACAGCCTCAGGTGGGAGCGCTTCCAAATTGCCGTGGATGGTGACGTCGCGCGTGTGCTCCACCCGATCCTGCCTCAGGCATGGAGGGGTTGAAGGGCTGCGCGTCAGGGCATGTAACGCAGCGCGCCCTGTGCCAGGGCGACAAGTGCTGTCCTGTTGCAGGGCCCGAGGTTGGGGCGTCTGCATTGCACGGTTAGACATAGGGTTTTGTCTCTTTGTGAAGAGCTTCTGCAATCGGAATTTAGGAGCACTAAGCCCTCCTGGAAACCAGCCCGCGGGACGCATACGTGAGACATGCCCTTATCCGCGATCATTCTTCCGTTGACCAGTCAGGCGTTCACTATGCTACACGCCCTCCCCGCCAAAGAAGCACTAGTAAAAGACAGCTGTGGCATATGCCACATGCTTTGCACTTTGGAGAGGCTGTGCTTCAGATCCTCAGCTGGCACATCGACGGCCGCCCCAAAGATGCAATGCAGGCTGAGTACCGATAACTTGCGAAATGCTCTTCACTTTGCATTGGATGTATGGCAGACGGCATGCAGTCGAACGGAACATTTGACGCTGGGTGTGTCGTGGATGCTTACTATACAAGTTAGGGGTACAGCATAGTATGCAGCGTGGAACTTCTGCTCACCTGTGCACATGGGTCTGCGGCTGTTGGGTAGAGCTTGAGTGGTGTCATGTGTTTCTAGTCCGTTTTTGTGCGATTGCTGTCTTGAATGATCTTGAACGATTCCGTGTCTTCAGTGCTTCTGTGTCAGTCGGTGTTTCTTTTGGTGCGTGTGTCTTTTCGTTTCCAGATGCAACAGCAACTCGAAACCCAAACCTCGCCTTGTTGCAAGCACGGGGCTTGCTCATAAGCAAACATGCCTCCCATGAGTCCACGCGCTTAAGCTGCGCTGAAGCTGGCGGGCACACGGAAGGGGCACTCTCCATGTTAACTGCCAAGACGCTGGCCATCACCGCCACCGCCACCGCCACC